TACTAACATGAAGAAGTACATTATGGTAATATAAGTTAGGGAACAACAATTTATAAACATAATGAAGTGATTTAATTTAGGGGGGAACATACTATGTGTTTTGACAGAAAAAGAGACTGATGTTCCCCCAAAATAAGAAATCATTTCATTATCTTATTATTGTGTGTGTGCGTGTGTGTGTGTGTGTGTGTGTGTGTGTGTGTGTTTTATATGAAAATTACATTTCTTGAAAAAAAAAGCATATGGTGAACTTTGTTTAACAAGAAATTACCGTGCATATTTTGACCTTCTAATTTATACCATTACAGTTAGGAAGTTCACAATGTTTGATAGTTTCAAATGTCAGTACATACGTTTTACGTATGTGGCATTCCCTTGGTAACTTGAGTATTGATTTAAATGCCGCTTAGCTGCGTTCCTTTCAACTATGACAGTGCCAGCTGTCTTCAACCTCTATGAGCTAGTACACGAGTATTAGGCTTAAGTTTAGACTGTTGCCTTTTCATTATTTCCTGTGATGATATGGACAGTTAGTCACACTTGTGAGTTGTGGTGCAACGTGTTTATCATATGGATAATTCCTGTGTATTTTATGATATAATGTGAATGATAACTAGCCGAATCATAACGAAAGCATCACCAAGAGAAGATTAACACACTCATATGAGGACATGAAACTGCCACTATCATTGCTGACATTTGTACACTGTTTGTTCAGGGTGGGGAAGTCACACTTCCCTTAATCAACGTAACACAAGATAATTCACAAAGATTGTAGTTTTATAAAAACTACCTAGTGCATGAGAACTGGAAGTTTATTGCAACATTAGACAAGGACCGGTGTATTTGAACTAATGCAACAAGAAACAAAGCAGATTTCTTACATAATGGGAAATGTAAAGTGTAATTAAAAATCTAGTACCTTATGGCTAGTACGGCAAGAAAGTACGTCTGTGTCTGGATAAACAAACGTTTCTTCAACCGAAGGAGAATAAATTATGCCGTCATCCAAGTGAATCTTCAGGAACATCTGTACGCTTAAAGGTCGTCTTGAAAGCTGATGTCCACGTACAGTGGAATATATGTGGACTGTTTATCGAGATGTATGGATTATGAATTTTTTTTATTTTGTGTGTGTATGATTAAGCGTTGTCTTGGACTATAAATATTGTTGGTGTGTGTGTGTGTATAATTAATTATCATCTTGGACTATAAATATTGTTGGTGAGTGTGTATAATTAATAATCATCTTGGACTATAGAGATGATACTTAATTATACACACTCACCAACAATATCAGACTATAAATATTGTTGGGGTGCGTGTATAATTTAGTATCATCTTAAACTGTAAATATTGTTGGTGTGTGTGTGTGTATAATTAAGTATCATCTCGGACTATAAATATTGTTGGGGTGCGTGTATAATTAAGTATCATCTCGGACTATAAATATTGTTGGTGTGTGTATATAATTAAGTATCATCTTGGACTATAAATATTGTTGGTGTGTGTATAATTAAGTATCATCTCGGACTATAAATATTGTTGGGGTGCGTGTATAATTAAGTATCATCTTAGACTATAAATATTGTTGGTGTGTGTGTATAATTAATTATCATTTTGGACTATAAATATTGTTGCTGTGTGTGTATAATTAATTATCATCTTGGACTATAAATATTGTTGGTTGTGTGTGTATAATTAAGTATCATGTTGTACAATAAATATTGTTGGTGAGTGTGTATAATTAAGTATCATCTCGGACTATAAATATTGTTGGTGTGTGTGTATAATTGTCATCTCGGACTATAAATATTGTTGGTGTGTGTGTGTATAATTAATTATCATTTTGGACTATAAATATTGTTGGTGTGTGTGTGTATAATTAATTGTCATCTCGGACTATAAATATTGTTGGTGAGTGTGTATAATTAAGTATCATCTCGGACTATAAATATTGTTGGTGAGTGTGTATAATTAAGTATCATCTCGGACGGTAAATATTGTTGGTGAGTGTGTATAATTAAGTATCATCTCGGACTATAAATATTGTTGGTGTGTGTGTATAATTGTCATCTCGGACTATAAATATTGTTGGTGTGTGTGTATAATTCTAAAACTCAACTCAAAACATTGTTCCTCTCAAACTAAAATATTTTTTTGTGTAACAAAAATATGAAAGAATTGTCGATGCAATTTTATAACAATATATTTACATTTACTGATTTGTAGTGGTATTAAGATGTATAAATCAACGTTACTGTTTCTTCAAAAAAGACTTAGTGATTTATAGTGGTATTAAGATGTATAAGTCAATGTTACTGTTTCTTCAAAAAGACTTAGTGATTTATAGTGGTATTAAGATGTATAAATCAACGTTACTGTTTCTTCAAAAAGGCTTAGTGATTTAAAGTGGTATTAAGATGTATAAATCAACGTTACTGTTTCTTCAAAAAGGCTTAGTGATTTAAAGTGGTATTAAGATGTATAAATCAACGTTACTGTTTCTTCAAAAAGACAGTAATTTATAGTGGTATTAAGATGTATGAATGAGCATTTCTTTGTTTGCTGAAAGATGTACAATTCAACATTTTTTTTTCATTCAAACAATAGACTTTGCTGGTGCAAGTCAAGTGTTTCCATGAGATCATCTCTATTGGCTACATTGTTTATCGCACTCATGATCTTCCTTGGTTTCGATCTCTGTCCTGGTATTTCCTTGTCACATCCAACTACTTCCTATATGGAGAAAGCATGGTTGACTATTTTGGAGTTTTATTGAACAGAGCAGTAAGTAATGAAAATTGATTAATATCGCATTACAGTGTGAAAAGCAGCCTAAAGGATGTGTTATAACTCATTTAAATTAAGAGTAAATAGCTCAGTATAATTATGGGGTTGTATGTAACTTTGATCAAATCAAAAGTGAGTTATTAAACAACACTATAAGAACATAGGAAGACAATACATTCATACATACACACCTTATCAAACTGTGTATTTATCGACAAGGAAAAAACTAAATTTCTATTGTGAATATTCCTTTGAAAAGAGGAAAGGACAAAACTTTGCATATAGATTGAAGCTTTATTACCTCAACTATAACATAAAATTCCAATACGGTATCTTACCTCCTATCACATGATAGCTTCTCTTGTTCAGTGCTGCCCTCTATATGTACAAATGTTTTCACTTGAAACCCCCACAGACACCGTGTTTAACGTGGTTCTATTGCGTCTCTCCACCAATAGACCCTATGTGCACGACGTTGTATATTACCGGCAACCCAAAAGTAAACACCACCATTTTGGATGTAGCAGAGAGATAATTAAGTAATCACAGTGTAGTTGCTGGTATTTGAAATAAAAGTCAGCTGTGTGGCGGTTAGTTGTACAAACAATCAGACAAAGAATCCAGAGTTATCAGTTTATTGGTTTCCAAAAGATCCAGTGCGTAGAGTTAAATGGATTGTGGCAGTAAAATGTGAAAACCCAATCAACACTGAGAAGGCTTGGAAACCACCATCGTACCATAGACTATGCAGTTCACATTTTATATCTGGTTAGTACTACTTGTAAATATTTGGTGCTTCCCACAATATGATACAGGTCCGTACAAGCAGTGCTAGATGGAAGGGTCCAGTGGGCAGTAATAAAGTTTTATCAAAAATGTGGCTTGTCAAGACAGGTGGTTTTAATCTCAAGGGCTTATTTGTGCAAGAGATATGGTAATGTGTACTGAAGAAAGTGGTCTTAAAAGACAGGAGGACTTAAAATGCAATACAATACAATGTTTTATATTTAAATTGTAAATTTACCACTGATAGAACATAAACAATAGGTCTGGTCACTAAAAACAACTTTGACTTACCCTTAAGTAAGCTGTGTAGTTGAATGTTTTGTACACTTTCCATAATCTGACATTATGCACCCACTCAGCCACAAAATACTTGTAAGCATCAAGGCTTTTATAGGCCTTCAACTGCTTCTAGTGTAAAAAGATGTTGTCAGGACTATGATATTTATATTCTCAATGTGTGGGACTTTAACGTTGGTTTGTAGGCCTAACTTGGGTCCTCCGTTTGCAATGTCAACTAATTTCTGGCATCTAGTGTGATTTTCATTGCTGACAGGATGGAATTAAGATCTGTCATGTCAAGACCTACTTTTCTGCATGTTTCTTCATACCTTGCCTTGCATATATTGTTTAATTTGCTGAAAAATTAACAGGGAACTAGGTGATTGCGTAGGGGAGGCCATGTTTTCAGGAATAATGCTTACGTCCAATATGGCCCCAATTTGTTTCAGTGTTTACTTTGGTCACATGACTTCATAAGGTCTATAGGAGCAAGACACATTCTCCTGATGCAAGTTATACTTGACTTCATAAGGTCTATAGGAGTGCGACACATTCACGTGACTTTGCAAGGTCTATAGGAGTGTGACACATTCTCCTGGTGCTGGTTACACGTGACTTCATAAGGTCTATAGGAGTGTGACACATTCTCCTGGTGCAGGTTACACGTGACTTCATAAGGTCTATAGGAGTGTGACACATTCTCCTGGTGCTGGTTACACGTGACTTCATAAGGTCTATAGGAGCATGATGCATTCTCCTGATGCAGGTTACACGTGACTTCATAAGGTCTATAGGAGCATGACGCATTCTCCTGATGCAGGTTACACGTGACTTCATAAGGTCTATAGGAGCCTGACACATTCTCCTGATGCAGGTTACACGTGACTTCATAAAGTCTATAGGAGCATGACACATTCTCCTGATGCAGGTTACTCGTGACTTTATAAGGTCTATAGGAGCATGACACAATCTTCTGGTGAAGGTTACATGTGACTTCATAAGGTCTATAGGAGCATGACACATTCTCCTGATGCAGGTTACTCCCACTATACTATTCAGCCTAATCTTTACTTCTCATTTAGATGTTCTTGAATTTCACTCATGTTTTTGTATTCACAATTGCACTTTATTAATTTTTTTTTATCGAAGTAGTAATTTGAAATAGTTTAACATTTCAATTACAACTTGTGTTTAAGTAAATTAACTATATATATATATTTTTTTTTATCTTCACTGTTTAATTTGGTTTTATGATCTTTGTTAAACCATAAATTTGGAATTTTGTGTCATGACTACTACTAGCATAACTACTACTACTTCCAATGTCATCTCTCAGGCTTCAGATTCGACACCTTCAGCTGAGGAGGTCTTGGTCTTAGATAGACGGGAGCTTGAACATTACGCAAGACAAACAACTTCTCCCAAACCTAGAAAAGATCTATTTCTGGAAGATCCTGGTCCTACAGACAAGGACTTAGAAAGCTTTTTTTTCTTCCCCGGTCCCTTGCAAGGAGATCTGGATTATCCACACTCATAGCATCCATTTTGTCCCATCCCATTTGCCCTTCCTAACTCATGGTTGACTTTTCACCAGTGGTTTCTGTCCTTCCCGACTGACGGGATCGCATGCTGCAGAATTCCATATCAGGCTGTTTGATTATAACTCACCAGTATCTTTTATTGCAGGATATTGAGCAACCTTATCTAACACCTTCCATTTTACCACTTACTGCAAGGTGTTTTCTTCTCTAACAATTTCCCTATTGTTGCATTCCTTCCAGATTAATTGTTCTCCTTGCCTTTCTGTATATGGATTGGGATATTAATGTTGTTTTCCACATCCTTACCTTTCCTCCCTTTACCATCTCTCCCTTAAAACCTGCTTCCTACTCCTTTTGGCCTGTTTATGTTGGAGGTCTGACATATTCACCATCGACATTTCACGTACACTTTATCTCCACTCCTATGTTCTCCTATATCTGGATCATTCTTTCCTTCCCAAAACATCAGGGGTTCATGAGGGCAATTTTTCCTTTATACTGATTTTTCTTCCTTCCATTTCTCATTTATACTCCCATTCAGATCTGGATAGACTTGTATATCTAGTTTGTGCTTTTCATTTTTATATTGCTGACACGGCTCCTTTCCATTGGTCTTACTCTCAGTTATTCGTTCCCTGAAACCCATTCTTTCTCCGAAACCTTTCACCTTCTACCCTCACAGGTTGGATTTATCAACTCTCAGGCTGGCATATCTTTTAACTCCCAACATCTTTACCAGATTCAACATCTTGGCAGCTCATCTTCATTGTCCTTTAGAAGATATCATTTAATCGGGCACGTGGACTTCACACCCTACTGATTCCCAACATCTTCACCAGATTGAACATCTTGGCAGCTCATCTTCATTGTCCTTTAGAAGATATCATTTAGTTGGACATGTGGACTTCACACCGTACTGATTCCCAACATCTTCACCAGATTGAACATCTTGGCAGCTCATCTTCATTGTCCTTTAGAAGATATCATTTAGTCGGGCACGTGGACTTCACACCGTACTGATTCCCAACATCTTCACCAGATTCAACATCTTGGCAGCTCATCTTCACTGTCCTTTAGAAGATATCATTTAGTTGGACATGTGGACTCCACATCGTACTGATTCCCAACATCTTCACCAGATTTAACATCTTGGCAGCTCATCTTCGTTGTCCTTTAGAAGATATCATTTAATCGGGCACGTGGACTTCACACCCTACTGATTCCCAACATCTTCACCAGATTGAACATCTTGGCAGCTCATCTTCATTGTCCTTTAGAAGATATCATTTAGTTGGACATGTGGACTTCACACCGTACTGATTCCCAACATCTTCACCAGATTGAACATCTTGGCAGCTCATCTTCATTGTCCTTTAGAAGATATCATTTAGTCGGGCACGTGGACTTCACACCATACTGATTCCCAACATCCTCACCAGATTCAACATCTTGGTAGCTCGTCTTCATTGTCCTTTAGAAGATATCATTTAGTCGGGCACGTGGACTTCACACCATACACGCTTATCTCCCATTACCTACATCATGTGGATATTGTGTTCCACCTGTTGCCATTCTAAACATGATGGTTCAACTGTGAATTGATAAGTTTGCTTTACTCTAGTTCCCTTTTTTTTTCTACAGGATAGTGGATCCTGGTCTGTGGCAAGTGATGCCTCTTTAGGTATTACTTACTGGCTATTAACCAAAGCATCCACACTGTATGGCCTATAACCACTGGAGAATATATATATACCACTTTCGATGGGTTGAGACCTGGAGGTTGGCATAGCAGAGCTAGACCAGGAGAGCGGTTGGCTGTGATGCCCGACATGTGAAAATCTGAGTCTGGATCTGCCAGTATGTATACACACATATATATATATATCAAGGCCTATGATAGACACTGTTGAGATGGGATGCCCCATAAGACTGCTTGTAGTTTCTCCTCACTATATGTTGCTTCTTACCTATGCCCATACTAGACTGTACTGATTCATGGACTATCATGAGTAAAGCATAAGGGAATACCTACCCATCCCTGCTGTTCCTTCAGGTGAATAAATCAGGAGTGATCTGCTTTTTAAAACAGGCTTTTTGTGGTCAATCATTGCACAGTCTCTGGACACCCCAACGAGCTTCTCCCCTTTTTTCGAGTGGAGTACAAAAGTCCTTACTACTTGCAAATTCCTAGCCATTGGGGTGGAGGATCATGGAGGCTTCTTGTTGAATGTGCTAAATCCCATTCCGTAGAGAGTAGAGCAGTGGTGTTGATCCACCAAAATGATGCTCCTCTCTCAACAGAAGTCACACTCCATGTGAAACCTTCATTTAGGTGGTGGAGGATCATGGAGGCTTCTTGTTGAATGTGCTAAATCCCATTCCGTAGAGAGTAGGGCAGTGGTGTTGATCCTCTCACTGATTCGTAAACTGGAGTAAATCCACCAAAATGATGCTCCTCTCTCAACAGAAGTCACACTCCATGTGAAACCTTCCGAAAGGTGGTGGAGGATCATGGAGGCTTCTTGTTGAATGTGCTAAATCCCATTCCGTAGAGAGTAGGGCAGTGGTGTTGATCCACCAAAATGATGCTCCTCCCTCAACAGTAGTCACACTCCATGTGAAACCTTCCGAAAGGTACTCAACTAGGTAACTTTTGCACTGGTCCCTCCACCTTACCAATGTAGGATTCTAGTTCTTGAAAATATATTTCTAATAATTTCTTCCCACTTCTGGTGCTTCTTTTCTGTCTAATCTTGAAGTGAAGGTTAGGCTGAATAATATTGACGGAGAGTATGTTGCACTACTATTGGTAGAGGGCTGTCACATGCTTATTTCCAGTAGAACCAAATTAAATATGGGAGTTTCAAGGCTAGTGATGAACAAAAACATTTGCACTTATAGAGGGCAGCACTGAATGAGAGAAGCTATTATGTGAGAAGTAAGTAAGTCCCTATCCGAAATGTATTTTCAGTGTAGGAAAATATTAACATTTCCAACAGAAACATTGAATGTGTATAGATTGAAGCCATATTAACTAAACTGTAACAAAAATTTTACATAGAAACACTGAATCTAACAAACAACTGATGTGTATAGAGTGAAGCCTTATTAATTATGTGGTTCGCAGTTTTCACGTTATAAAGAAAATCTGAAACAAGGATTAGTACATCATTTTGAATTTTATTTACTAGAGAATTTAAAAATTCATATCAGTAGGATTTTACAGATATTAACTTGCAAATTTTGAGAAGTAAAATATAAAAATTCCAATGTAGAAAAATATTTATTTAGAAAAAGAAAATTAAGTCATGGCAGTCTTAAAACAGTGCTGTTAAAGTATGAAGGTACTGAGGATTTAAGCTACCTGTACTGTGTTCAGAAAGTAAATACTGAACACAAGGACCTCTTGAAAGTTATCACGATTTAATTTGTACATATGCTAGTGATTTAAACTTTGAAAGTTCAGCTTTTCTACTCATAACTTACAATGTATGAGGAGTTATCAATACGAGTGTGGACGTTTAACAAGAGGAGTAAATTTCCTCAAGATGTTGTTTGAATAATCATATATTTTAATGTTTCATACATTAGGAACACACATTATTTGTGTTAACGTTTTATGCATTAGGAACACACATTATTTGTGTTAACGTTTTATGCATTAGGAACACATTGTTTGTGTTCTATACATTAGGAACACATTGTTTGTGTTCTATACATTAGGAACACATTGTTTGTGTTCTATACATTAGGAACACATTGTTTGTGTTCTATACATTAGGAACACATTGTTTGTGTTCTATACATTAGGAACACACATTGTTTGTGTTCTATACATTAGGAACACATTGTTTGTGTTCTATACATTAGGAACACACATTGTTTGTGTCAATGTTTTATACATTATGAACACACATTGTTTGTGTTAACGTTTTATGCATTACGAACACACATTATTTGTGTTAATGTTTTACACATTAGGAACACACATTCTTTTCTAAGAGATTTTTTTTTTTTTTTCAGGATTTTATGAAGCCCTTGGTGACTTATCACAGGTTTATCTCATTCAGTTTGTACATTATTGGGTTTGTGTGGTTTGTGCTCAGCCTAGTCAAGAAGTATTATCTGAAACAGTTTTCTCTGGTACATATTGTATTGTTGATTTTTATAACTTAAAGTACGTGTTTCAGGAAATTTAATTGATATATTGCATATTTTATCAAACAATAGACATTACAACCATATATTATTGGACTCAATATGAAGATCGCTTATCAAAGCACACTCGCACGACCCCCTGGGTATAGAAATAGTGGGTTAATATTACAGTTTTGATTAATATTCTGTCACTATGGTGTTAAAAGTAAATTACCCATACTATAGATTGTCTGGTCTCTAAGCTCCTTACGACCCATTCGTACAGAATTATTGTTAATTTTGGCCATGTCGTTGAAATTTTCAACAAACATTTATTGGGCCTAGAAGTGGGAATTTTGCCCATAAGCCGTGGGTTTGGTAGAACAATGTGAATATTCTCATGGAAATACAGATGTCAGACATTTTTAATATTTCTGATACTTCAAGCTAGAAAACAGATTTTTGTAGTATTATTCAAAACGTAAGACAGTTTTATTCAAGATTGGATTGGTAAAGAAACTGTACTTGCTACCTGGTGAATAGCTGTAAAGTAAGGGTGCTACCTGGTGGATGGTTAGGAGTTAAGGGTTCAAATTGTGCTCTCAATTTAAAAAGCTTTATAGTCTACTATTTACTTGATATTTGTGCACAAATCCTTGAGAAAATAAATAATACTTTATCTATAGTTATCACAATACGAATGAAAAATATTTGTGTGTTAGTCTTAACTTGTATATGTTGGGTAGGAAACATTTCACTTATAAAGAAAAAAAAAGACAGGATTAATACTGTAGAATAAATGATTCATTTTCATTACAACAACAAACTGATATGATGGTATATATTGAAGTTTATTTAATAAGATTATATCACTTTCGTACTTTGCTCACCAGCTCCAATACTGTTCAGAAACACGAGTGCATGGTTATTAATGAGCTACGTATTTCACTTCTGAAATGTATCTTTATTTTTATAAACAATGCATCAAAAGATGCAAGAAATTATGGGACTTATCTTAAAGTTGACAAGATTTTAATAACTATGGAACTGTTGCCTGAAAGTCAACATTTATTACAGATGTTTTACAAGTGAAAAATCTATAATTTTTAAATATTTTGTGCTGTGATTCATGTGACAAAACAACAGAAATGATTGTATGTTAACCAAATTTTGCAGTTTGCTTGGACCCACGTTACATTGTTGATTGTGGTGACCCAGTCATATCTGATCATGCAAAATCTCTTTGAGGGGCTCATTTGGTAAGTGTCATTTCTTATAATTTAGATACAGCTTCCATTACCAGTTTGTTTGAAAGTTAGCCAAGAAAAACAAATCACTAATGTTAGTCTTTATTACCTACACTTGAAAACACTTTAACTGTACCAGATTTATAGGCTACATTGAAAGCACTTTAACTGTACCAGATTTATAGGCTATACTTGAAAACACTTTAACTGTACCAGATTTATAGGCAATACTTGAAAGCACTTCTAGCTGCACCAGATTTATATGCTATACTTGAAAGCACTTCTAGCTGTACCAGATTTATATGCTATACTTGAAAGCAGTTCTAGCTGTACCAGATTTATATGCTACACTTGAAAGCAGTTCTAGCTGTACCAGATTTATATGCTACACTTGAAAGCACTTC